TCTGACTCTGATTGTTCATCATCAATGAAATGTAAAGGGAAATCTTGAAAATTACATGGAATGTTCCCTTTTGTTGCAGCTTCTGGTTTAATCTCATAAATTTATCAGCTATTAAAAGATTACTGACTCGAAAAATGAATTTCAGAGAAGGAAACGGGGGGCGGGGGAGAAGCGCTGCTCCCTCTGCTGGTAGAGTCGGAGTACTGAGGGGTTGTGAAAGGAAGAGTTCACTGAGTTCAGTCTGTCTCAATCTGTGGTGGAGTTACTGATGAAGACAAAGAGTCAAAACTCGTGTCTTTACATCAGAAACGAAAAAAAAAAAAGAAGTCCTCGTTGGACTGGTAGAATGTGCTGTCGTGTCGTGCCGGATGTGTTCCTAATGAAAGTGTTTGTTTGCTTGGCAGGAGATGGTGGACTGGTTCAACGCCATCAGAGCGGCCCGGTTCCACTACCTGCAGGTGGCCTTCCCTGGAGCGAGTGACGAGGAGGTGAGAAAGACGCGCTTTAATCCAACGCGTTTCTGGGAGCCAAGCTTGTGGCTCCGGTCACTGCCTCAGTGATGGTGGTTCATTTTTAAATTCAGACTGAATTCCCTGTAAAACCTACAATGAGATGATATTTCCTTGAGACGCATTTTCTCTACCCGTTTCATCCTCTGTTCCTAATCCTTCAGAAACGTTCCAGTTGGGCATCTATCTAGATTAATTTTCTTATCTTAACTAAAAAATGTGTATTGATATAATAATTATTATTTTTAAGACCACCTACTATTCTATGACTTAATTTACTCATACTGTTGTTGGTATTTGTTGGTAGGTGTAAAAAAAAACAGCCCCAAAACGCATCCACAAGCTTGATTGACAGCGCTAGAACCCTCCTCCTGACTCTGATTGGTTGTTTCTGGGAGTGGTGTGTGTCTGCAGATGGCAGAATAACCACAGGGAGAATTTTTCATAGATTATCCATCTCATACTTTACTCTCAGGACATAGTGCCAGCTTTAATATGTAATATGTAAAATAATATTTTTTATAAAAGATGGGGTTTAAGGTTTTTGTTAATGATGGTACTTAATTTGCCTTTTTAATATTTCGTGCAAATCTTTAATGTTTTTGGGGGTTTTTTCGCAGCTGGTCCCCAAACTAACACGGAACTTTATGAAAGAAGGCTTCATGGAGAAAACCGGCCCAAAGGTGTGTATTCTAGAATCTTTTGCTAATTATGAGAGGACATGGCTAGAAAAAACTGTCTAGAACAGAACTTACTTCAACTGAACTCCAGGAGAACCAAGCTTCTAATGATCAACCTGGAGAGCATGTCTCCTCTGATCAGATGGATAAAGTTGCTCATTGAGCCAAATCCAAGAATCTTACATGTTGTTTTCAGCCAACCAATGAAAGTCCCTCAAAACAAGTAGTACAAAACTTTTCTTTTTGACATCTTTTGAGAAATAGTTAATGTCAAAACAGAAACTTGAGATGGTTCTGCTTTTTATTCTCCGTAGTCTAGACTTGTTTATTCTCGTCGCCTTTCCCTTCTTCTCTTCTGCCAGGCTTTGCTGAAACCATTATTTTCTATGTTGGGTGCAAACTGCAGTTCAAAAAAGATTTTTCCCTCCCTTTAATTTCTCTGTCTCACTCTGCTGCAGCACACGGAGGGCTTTAAGAAGAGGTGGTTCACCATGGATGACCGGCGGCTCATGTACTTCAAAGACCCCCTGGTGAGAAGAGTCCAGATCCCGATCCTCTAGTGGCCTGACATGTTGGACTAATGGGACCCTCTCTCTGTCCGCCCCAGGACGCCTATGCCAGGGGCGAAGTGTTCATCGGCAGCAAGGAGAACAGCTACACCGTCCTGTCCGGCTTGCCCGCGTCCACACAGGGCTACCACTGGAACCACGGCATCACCATTGTCACGCCCGACAGGAAGTTTCTCTTTGCCTGCGAGACGGAGGCCGAGCAGCGCGACTGGATCGCGGCTTTCCAGAGAGTCATCAATCGACCAATGAGGCCACAGGAATACGCAGGTTTTTATTGGGAATGTTGGACAGGTGCAGATAGGAAAGCAGACCGAAACTGATTTGGACTGATTACCGCATCAAGTCCATCTACAGTGGCACATCGTTCCATTTGCTTCCATTTTCTGTGGTTGCATAATTTTTTTCTTCATATTTCTTTAGTTAATTGTAGGCTTTTGCTTGTTTTTTGTTGTTTATTTTTCTTGGATAGCAGCATTTTTTGTTCGCGTTGTTTTTGTGCATTTAGAAATTTGCCTCTGTCACGTTTAGTTTGTACCGCTCGGCCGCTGTAACATTCACACACTAAGGAAGGCTAAATGTGCGTCGGTTTGTGTCCATACCTAATTTCCGTTTCCTTCATTGTGTTTTTCAGTGGAGGCCCATTTTAAACACAAGCCTTGAAGCCTACAGCAAGTCCAAAGTCATCTGGACCGGCCTAATGAGAGAGATATCAGAGACAGCCCTCTCACCCCGCACCGCACAACAAGTGGGGAGGCATTGGGGTCCTGTCTGGGTAAGGTGGAGACTATTGGAATGGGCTAAGATTGGAAAAGAAAAGAAGAACAGAAGGACTCCAGTCTATGTTAAAGACGATGGTTGGTATGATGTAAGGTGGAAGGGTAGAGATGATGTCAATTAATACCGCTCTCAACAACTTTGTGCTGTACATTGTCATACCAGATCCTAGTCCCTCTCCCTGTCCTCCTGCCCCTCAGCCATGTGGAACCCTCATCTGCATCGAGCTACCCTTACGCCCTCGGATCTCATCTTGTGAATGGTTCTTTCTGCCTGTGATCTAATGTAGCTATGTAACCTAGAGTCATGTCACTGGTCGCTTAACGAAGACGAACACGTTGTTAATTTATTGAATGTACAGTTTTCGACCACAGTGTCTTAATCGTGCGTGTGGAATCGTCATGTTTTCATTGCGGACTCTTGCGAGGTCCAACCTCTGGCGCTGAAACCCTGGGAAACCTGAATTCTACAAAGTGCTGTTAACAACAACCATGCCTACAAACGAAACTTGCACACAAACGCTCAGTGAACACCACCTGCTGTTAACGACGGCTGATCCACCGCGTCCAACCAGGGTCCCTTTTAGAAAAACTCCACCCCAAACAGAAGCCGCGCCCTTATTTATTTGTACTGTCGAACATACCATGTCATCGTGGGATGCTAATTTTTTGCTGCTTTCTTGGATTGTAATGTGACGGGATTGTAATTTGTAGAACACTTCTACAAATGTTCAATTTGTTCTTTGTATCTTGATTCAAAGGCACAGTGTTTTGTTGATTCTTGCATCGTCATGGGAAATAAATTTGAAAAATGAACATGGAGGAACCAGAGACAATACAATACGATATTTACATGTTCTGTGTCCCATTTGTTGTTTGTATGGTGGCTCAGAAGGGACAACGACATGCAAAAGTCACAACGGAAATGATGCTAAGTTTGCTAACATGATTTGTGTTTTAGTCTAAAACAGAGGCTATGCTAGCAAGTTTACCATTGCTTCCTTTGTGGTTTCTGCCTTTTACTGACCCTTTAGGGCCACCGCATATTTGACAATAGAAGTGTGTAATACTGCATATTTTGATATTGATGCAGTTTTTCTTTCTTTAAAGTATTTTGTTAAAACTACTGGAATCAACTGGGACGCCCCCCGTAGTCGAATTTCCCAGATTTAACTTTCCGAAGGCGTATTTGACGATGGCAGGTTCACAAGACATATGAGCATGTCTGAAATCAATGTTTCGTGTTGCACCTGAAACTGGTGTTTGCTTGTGGAAAGTAAAGCTTAAAATGAGGCCAGTTGCCCTATGTCCCCTCTATGTCGTTGGTTCTGACTTCCACACTCACGAAGGGTGTGTCCTTCAAAGAACCACGCCTGTCACCATTACTGAACCCCAAATCAGCAGGTACAATTCATCTCTTTTTCAGGTACTTGCGTTTATGAGAAACGATGCTGAGGACAGTATGAATGTTGGGTTAATGCTTAATTTGTCCAGCAGATGGCGCCATTAGACTACATAAATAATACCCATCACTAACCTTAACTCGTTTCTCATCAACAGCTATTTGGTCAAAAACTGTCACTGGCAAATTTCTGGGTTTCAAGTTGCAAAGACCCGTCGTCTCATAGTGTGAAATCTACGAGATGGTGGTCAATATTCTCCTTCAAAAGTCATGATGATTTGGATGTTTTCCAAAAGAAAGAAAAATGGGCTAAATGACTGCCAGTGTACCTGGCCACCTGATGACCTCTCTCGCTCTGACATAACCTTCCACAGGATGCCAGCCATTGCAAACATAAATTTGTCAATGCTTCTTCTGTCTGGCTGTGCTGTTGTTGGCTGCCGGGTTCTCATGGTAAACTGCTGAGACAGAGAGCCAGTGAGCAGTACGTGACGGGCAACAGGAAGAGTTTAAAACCGGGTGGGACCTTTGGCTCAGCAGACGCCCAGGGTTCATGCTGAAAGTAATACGTCCAGTCGGTCAGTGGAATACGGACCAAATACGTGTTACCAGGCAGATGAACCGTGGTGCAAGAGTGTGGAACCAAAAAGCGGACATAAATTTTCTTCTTTTTTTTTTCAAATACAAAAAAAGGTACTTGACCAAAGAGACCAACATCTAAAAACGTAATCAAACATTTTTTCTATCCACTTAAGCATCATTAGTCTCCATTGGGGAGATGCGCTCAATCATATCGCCAAACGGCTCCATTTAAACTTTATTAAAAAATTTAAAACAAATTGTTTCTTTTAGGGTTTTCATTTGTTGCCAAGTTGTGAACAGATCTTCTGAGCTAAAGTCTACTGTGTCTGCACACCATGCAAAATACACCATAAAATACCTTGTATCTGTAGAATGACTTCAACAATAATATTTGATTAAAGCCTTTTGGATGCGTAATTGTTGCCTCGGAAATGTTATCCTTATGTAATGTGACACCACAATACTTTGGAAAAAGCCACGCCCTCTACAATCGATCAAAACCTTTTTATTCAGCTGAAGTCCCACATTAGATACATCATCTCACAAATTGTACAAGTTGCAAAAAAAAAGCTCTCAGACCAAGGCACAGAAAACAAGAACAATTCAAAGATTAATTTGATAAATACCATGAGATCACAGCAGGCTTACAGAGACTCTTGTGGGACTGTCGCCAGGCAGCTTGTGGATTCAAACTTGCTTTGAGTTCGGATGTTTTCGCAACGGCAGGTTGAGTTCCCTCTGCATAGGTTTCTTTCCGGAGTTCAAAACATTCATGGTAGATTACCTGTAATGTTAATATACGTATAATAAATTTAAAAAGTTCCTGCCAGGACGTCAATTTGTAGTGAATGTTTTGCTTTTAGAGACGTGGGAATTGTTGGGAGCCACATCCCAACCTACACATGGTTTTGTTTAAGAAACTGTCCTAAACTACGGCTCCCTGGACTGGTCTGGAAGCCTCAGGACCGGTCTCAACCTGTTATCTTCTGATCTTGAGCTCGGTCTCAGATTCGTATGTCTTAGTCTCGGTCTCAGAAGATCTGCGCTTGCTCTTGGTCTTGGAGGATGCCATCTTGGTCTAGTAAGAACCTGGTTTCAATAAACCATGGCATATCGAAATTGTCTGAGATATTTTTATGAATTTTTCAATAAAATAACCTTTAAAAAGCTTAAATCTTACATATAATTTCATTGTAAAGTCTACTGTGTGTACAGTACTTAAGACCACCTATTTGCATGTATTTTACTTTTAAACTCCATTTGAACTCTTATCAAATATGACAGACTATAACTATTTCTATATTAATATAACTATGCGTTACCTCCATTTGGTAGATATTGTTTATTAGAATGACCATCATATTGCCAACGCTGGTTGTCAAAGCTGGTTCGAAACAACCCTGGTGCATGGTGGGTAGTATCAGATGACTTGATTGTAAGGATTTTTTTAAGGTTCAGCTAAAACTACAAATGAATTTGAATTTGGAGAATTTTAATGATTTACCCTTTCAAGATGTCCAATTTCAAACATATTTCTAAGTACTTGTCAGTCTTGAGATTTCTTCAGCATGACAACAACAAAGGCCGGTGATGTTTTTTCACAGAAACAGATGAGATTTTGTTTACTGTCTGCGAGCTGAGGTTGAGTCAGACGGCAGGCTTCAGTCCCCGTCAAGGCCTGGAGAGTGACGCGTAGACGGGCTGCTCCCAGACAGACGATGGACTGCCAGGAGGCAGCGCCAAGGCCAGACTGTTGACGAGCGGAGCGGCGTACGACCTGCGCGTTGAGTGAAGGTACGGATATTGGTACAGGCCGGCGTTGTAACCTGAAAACGCGCCGTAGAGGCTGGCGTTCTGAAGGTCGGTGTAGTCCGGCGGGTTAGGAGGAGACACGGAGGTGGAGGAGCTTAGAGAGGTGTACTGAGGTTGGTGTGAAGGTGAAGGAGGTGAAGTAGAAGAGGAAGGTGATGAGCTGCAATGGCCCGGGCTCATCTGCTCCATTTTGATCTGAGGTTTTTGGCTAGTGTCCTCCTGCGGTACCTCCGTCGATGCACCTTCAGGTGTTTTGACGGTACAGTTGACTATGCTGTTGGAGTGAGCTTGGGCGCGTTGGGGGACGTATGACCCATTCAGGCTGCCGGGTTCCATCTGGGCTGGAAGAATAGTGCTGTGGCTGTTCAGGGGCAGGTACTGGTCCAGCTCGTGCACATCAAAGGCATCCATGGTGCCGATGACCTCGGTGCTAAGCTCTGAAATGTCCACGTTGCTGAAGTCGATGTTTCGGTTGGAGTGAATAGCAGCGGAGCTACTGTCAACAGGATGATGGGCATCATGCTTGTTAACAGCGTGGAGCTCCGTTTTAGGGGTAGTCGGGGGTGTTGGAGGACCATGAGGTTGACCTAGAAACAGACAAAAAAAAATTCAGTTTCTTTTTCCCTTTGTAATTGTAAGATTGTAATTGCTGAGATTTTGTAATCTCGTCACCTGGTCTGTCTGGATTGTAATGCTTGGGGACCTCTCCTACACCACCTAGCCGGGTCAACCCAGCTTCCGTCTTATAAAAGCCCTGCTGGGGTTGGTGCTGGTGTTGTGGTCTCGGGTCCCCTTGGCCCGGTTTAGCACTTTTGCGTCTTCGAGGTTGGTATTTGTAGTCTGGATAGTCTCTCTTGTGTTGCAGTCTCAGCTTGTCAGCCTCCTCTACAAATGGCCGCCTTTCTGTCTCAGAGAGAAGTCTGGAACAAAAGGCAGGAAGAAGTGACTGGACAGAGGCATTCTCTCTTCAGAATGGGCTAAGCATTTTCTCCTATTTAGAAAAGCTAGAGACTGGAATTAGCGTTACTGCTTGTGATTTAAAGGTTGGAACATTTTTCCGTTCAAATGGTTCAACCAAGGTGCTAAGAATAAACTCCAAAGTGTTCAAAGTGTTTTTTTCATCTGCACATAGCATTGAGTCGTCCTGCACAACTCCCAACTCATTTGTTGCTATGCACTGCTAGTTAGTGGTTTGATATAAAGTTAGTACATTGTTCCCTAACTTAAAAAAAAACATCTTGGAGCAACACCAATACCTATTATCAGGCTAACATTATAGCCTGACAAGCGACATGTCTGTTAAAGAGCAGACTGCAGAGTCTAACCACAGCAGCATTACTAAAATCAAAATATCAAATCAAATTTTATTTGTAAAGCATATTTCAGCAGCAAGGCATTTCAAAGTGTTTACATCATAAGCACAAAAACACAAAGTCATGCAACATGCAATAAACAATATATTGTTACATATTACATTTCAAATACAATTCTAAACAAGTGTGTTTTTAGTTGAGATTTAAAGGAAGTCAGGGTTTTTCATGTTTTACAGTTTTCTGGAAGTTTGTTCCAAAGTTTTGGTGCATAGATGCTGAAAGCTGCTTCTCCTCTCTTTGTTCTGGGAATGCAAAGCAGAACCAGAACCAGAAGACCTGAGAAGTCTGGAAGGTTGATACAACAACATCAGATCTTTGATGTATTGTGGTGCTAAACCATTCGGTGATTTGTAAACTAACAATAGTATTTTAAAAACTAGTCTTTGACCTACAGGGAGCCAGTGGAGGGACTTTACTAAGTAACTCCGGGTTAATTCATTGATTGATATAAAAAAAAAAAAAAAAAAGCACTTAAAGACTGTGACTCAAAAACAGCTGAAAAGAGCAGAATATTGAAATTTGCGAGTAGTTTTGAAAAAATGTTCCACATTAACGGTTGATGAGTGATGTATCTCTCCTCATTGGTTAGTGTGAAAATAGTCTTTCACTTGTAAAAGTGCTTTAATTTCAGCAAAACCCATGTTACATATTTTTAAGCGTGCAAAAGCTTAAAAACAGAGACTGAAACTTTAGACGTTATTTTTCAATTGAAACCTTGCAGTTAAATTCTGACATTAAGATATAAATTACACACCTTCTGATGGAATCATGTGCTCCTAAATGAAATAGGTTTTTAACATGTGGAAAACAAACAATTGAAAGAAGTGGGTTTTTTTAATTATTTTTTACATTGCTTTAGTTTTATTTCAGACACATTGTGATATTTTAAATAGGGATAACATCACTTATGTAAATATGGATCAGCTGTGGTGTAAAATACAATGCAAATGTCGCAGCAATTCAAAAACCCATAAAACTGCATTTACATAAAATATGTCTGTTTAGATTTAGGTTTTAGATGGCAGAGATCCACTTAGCTCCTCGCCACATCTACCAAGCCAAGAATGTAAAATGTTATAATGTTCAATTTTCAAATTCCAAAAGTCTCCATCCTGTCTATTTTCAAGAATAACCTCTGCGGACATTTTGGGCACTTATTGTCTTGTGTTTTACTATCAGCCACTCACCTCCACAGCTTGCCCAGCGTCTTGCTCAGCTCCGCGTTGTGGAGGTGCGGGTACTGGTCCGCCAGCTTCCTCCGCGCCGCCTGCGCCCACACCATGAAGGCGTTCATCGGCCTCTTCACGTGCGGCTTGTTCTTCAGCCCTCTCTCCCCCTGACTCGGCACGGGCACCAGCGACCAGTCGTACCCTTTCAGCACCTGCGACACCGCGTCCCGGATGCAGGCCGGGAAACGCTCGTCCTCCGGGGGGCTCTCCGCTCCGGCGAGCGGACGCACCGCCGCCTGCGCGTCAGTTCCGGCGGGAGAGTTCCCGACCTCCCGGTCCGGTTCGTGCCCGGGCGTAGAGCCGCCGCTGCTCTGCGGACTGCACGGATCCTCGGTGAGTAAGCCGTGCGCTTCAGCCATGGTTTGTTGCTGGGTTTATTTGAGCGCCTCCAAAGTTCGCGGAAAGCTCTCCAAAATGCGTAAAAGAGCGCGGTTCTGACTGGATCGCCACGAAAAGAAATGAAGCTCCCTCACTGGAAAGACCTGGCACGGGGCTGCCATCCCCCTTCACATTCTCCCCAACGTATGACAACTTTGACAAGCTCATCCAAAAGTAAACTCTGTAATCTCTCCACCTCCATCCGCTATTGGCCTGCACAAAAAAAATAAAAAAATAAAAAAATTAAAAAACAACAATTGGGGACCTCCTTCCCCAATTTATTGGAAAATTCAACGTCAAACGCAGAATTCCAAGTTTAGAAAGTCTGTAATTTAGAAAAATGTTAAGTAAAAATAACAACTGCAGTCAACTTGGACCCTCATTCTCTTCTAGCCTGAAGATAAAGGCCCAAACCTGCCTCAAAATAATTTTGGACCTTCAGACTTAGAGACTCAACATGCATTAGGACTAATAATATTTTTCTAAATAAGAACAAATTGACATTTTGTAAAATATGTTATAGTTATTATTATAAAAACAGTTCTGCCACACTTTTTTCTTCCACTGAACTTTACCTCATTTGCTTTGTATAACAGAGTCCTGCAAATAGCCTGCGTCATTAAACCTATCAAAAACAATTTGGTAAAAAACAACATATTAGTACTTACATTTATTCTAAATCAAAACAAATGGACAGTTTGTGAAACATATGATGGTAATTATTTTTACCATTGTAAAAAAATGTTCTGTCTTCCAAACCTTATTTGCGTTGGATACAGAACTTAATGAGCTTCTTTAGCAATAGACCTTAGTCGCTTGCTCTCCTTGAGGAAGGTATCAATGGCTGTCCGCTGGAAAAATGTCAAATCGGCAGTTTTCCCCATCAAAACTCTTTGTGCTGCAGTGCTGCTGCACTGCAACACCAAAGGAACCAAAAGTGAATAGCACTGACATAATTATGAAATATAGATTTGGCAATATAATGACTGAATTTCACACTTCCAGTTGTATTTTATACACGACTTGTCTAATTAACTTGTGACACTTTTAGCAGTCAGTGTACTTCAAATTCTTTATTTATTTATTTATTTATTTATTTATTTATTTATTTTTTAATAACCTTTTGTAACGATCTGCTACCATCTGTGTATTTATATGTCCTGCTGTAAGGATACATAAACACACAACTTTAAAAAAAATAAATGTGTATTTTTCAAAATTACAAATTTGTGGTATTTTTTTATTTCACAAATTTATTATTGTTTCATTTTTTCCCTTTATTTAAAATATTAAGGTGATTTTTTTATTGACTTTTTTATTACATAGTTGTCTTGTTTTCATGGTTTACCTGTCCAAATAATAATTTATATTATATTTACAGTTTTCAGGACAATGTTTATTTATTTATACTACTACTACTACTACTACTACTACTACTAATACTACTACTACTACTACTACTACTACTACTACTACTACTACTACTACTAATAATAATAATAATAATAATAAAATAATAATAATAATAATAAATTTTCTCTTGTTTTACTAAGATATATTTTTCTGAATAAACGGTGTTTTTTTAAGTCGTTGTAATTCACTTCCGGGTATGATTTTGTCACGTGACGCAGAGCTCCGTAAACATGGCGGCCAGCGCTGCAGCTGCCGAGAGCTCCGTGAGGAAGAGGCGCGTGGACAGCAGAAGGACGGACACGGAGAGAGCCCCCGACGGCTCGTCGGACGGAACCCCCGCCCATGGAGCCTCGGAGGGAAAAAAGCCGTTCGTGGCCTTCCGACCCGGAACTTACTGGCTCACTCGCATTGTGCTGCTGCGCTCGGTCTCTGTCATTTACTGTGAGTTTCTCTTGACTGCTCCAGAACCGAACCGTGCTCGTTCCTTTTCCAACCCAAAACTGCTCAATAAATTTCTTCTGCCTGTTAGAATCACGAGCTCTTTAGTTTTAAAGCCTACTGTACTCAGTGTCAACAGCTGTCAGCCTCTAGCATGTTGACTGATGAACACAGAACCGCAGTTAATGTGTAACATTGTGATACTCTGTTATTGTGCTCATGTCTCTCATGGTGTATCTTTGAAACGCTGAAGTCATAGTTTACAGTTCTGGTGTTTCCTATTGTAGCCTGCATATTGCAGGGTCTTTGTACTTAAGCACGATCCATATTGCTTTTAGAGAGATCTAATGTGGACCACAACATAAAGTCGATCAGCCAACTTAATGTCAGTGCAGTCATATCATCCCCACAGGTGAAATTGTGAAACTCCAGCTTGAATGAATAGATTGATTGTGAAAAGCATGACACACATGTGCTTGGGTTAGAGATGGGTCAGCACTCTGCACACAAAAAACATTAATGCTAAGGGTTATTTATTTATTTATGTATTTATTTTTATTCTAGTTGTGGCCTTCATGGTTGCCTACAACCAGAACAAACAGCTGATTGGAGAGAACGGGCTGATGCCTTGCAAGAACTACCTGAACAGCGTCAAGCGCTACGTCGGAGGAAAGATCGGCATGCCGGCCCTGGCATATGCACCTTCCGTCCTCTGGTTCTTGGACTGGACCAGCATGGACGCCAACCTGGACGGCATTGCCTTGCTCGGGATGGCGTTGTCAGGGTTCGTCCTGGTGACAGGGATGGCCAACATGGTGATCATGGTGACTCTATGGGTGCTTTACCACTCCTTGGTCAACGTGGGACAGCTGTGGTGAGTGTACATGCACAAAGCGGAGCCTTCACTAGATAAACAAATATTTTTCTCTGAAAGTGGCTAATAGTCTTTTCTGTAAATGAGATTGGCGTGTGATTGAGTCTGCTGGACTTGAACCACATTGAAGTACTGCTGCCAAAAGTGGGTAAGCTTTGCACTGGTGGCAGCAGGATTGTGTCTACAGATAAGTGTAGGGTTGCTTTTTGTAATATACTTAGTTATATGTCTTTGGTTTGTTTTCTAAGCCTGCTTTGTTAAGGTTTATGGTTTACTTGATCTACCGTTTAAACTAGGATATGATTTAGTGCCATCTAGTGGCAAAATTGCAGATGACATCCCACTAAGTGTGGTCCAGTTCCTTCTCCTGATGCTGCGGTTGTGGTTCATCTAATCAGGTGGAGAACATATGTGCGTGTAGGAGGAAGTAAACGCAGTCACACAAAAAAACCCCAGCAGTTTTAATGATGCGAGGTGTTTTGCATTGGCCGAAACGTCAATGTAAACCTCATCAGCTAACTGTGTATCCATCATGCTATGGCCTCCATAGGGAAAAAAAGAATAAACAAGAAACACATTTGGTTATTTCAACGCATGTTAAAATGTTACGCATTTTTCAAAAATGAGAGCAAATTCTGACGTTCTTGTTTGTATTTTTTCTTTCCAGGTACTCCTTTGGTGAGTGAACGTCATACTAGTTTGACCAGGGCTTCCTTTGTTTTTCCTTCTCCAAACGAAGACATGGATTGGAAGCACGAGAAGGATGGTCCTGATATAATTTTCTCTCAGATTTATCACCATCAAAACACCATAATGGCAAAAATGTGTATACCTAAAAAAACAAAAAAACAAAAACCCTTCCTTTTAAACACAGTAATATCTGCTCTGTCTTTTTTTATGTATCTCTTAAACTGCTTCATATTTTCTCAAACTTACCCAATATTTGGTCTCTTTTTAGAAGTTTAACTCTTTAAATTGCAGTTCAGTTGTCTCTGTTTTAAATTCCTATATTATTTATTGCAAAAAAAATAAATAAATAAATAAATTGGGATTTGCTTCATTTACTGTACTGCGTTACTTTAAAGTTCTCTGCCTTGTTGTAGTCCTGTTCATGAAAGTCTTGGATTTCCCCTTATGGAGCCATATGAGACCAAAAAGACAGACTTGATGTCTGATACTATAGCAAGTTTTAAAATGGGGATATTTTTGGTGCAAAGGTGTTTAGAGGATGCAAAATCCATCACTTAAAACGCTTGTGAAACCTTGGATTTCAAAAAGGTGGAAAAATAATTATTATTTTCCTGTGTCATAAAATTTGTAGTGGCATTCTGCCTTTTTTTCTTTCTTTCCTTTTTTTTCATACCCAGTTATTTTGTAAAAATCTTGCACCCAGTTTCTTAGGAATAGCTGATTTTGTGCTAAAATGCTAAACTGGGAAGAAAATACTTGCTAAGGCTATGTGTGTTAACGGATTCATGCTTGTATTTTGTAGCAAAAACAAATGCAACAGTTGTGTTCAATTCTCCATGGAAAAGTACTCCTCTTCAGTAGCGCGTTAACAATCCTGAGAACTTATCAGATAGGAGTGTAAGCTACCGACTCTGCGGTGCGGCTGAACCAAAGGAATAACAAAACCGCAAACATGTTTGCATCGGTAGCTCTGCTTTCTGTCCTAAGTATATAAAAAAAAGACTTCAGTGTAAAAATAAATATCACTGTGGTAAATTTCTGCACTGCATGCACAAGAAAAAGGAAGTGACATCACAACCAGGCCTGGGCAGCGTCGTCTGCTTTACTGTATGAATGTGCTCGTCTGTGCAGGTTGGGAGAGCCAGCTGTTGGAGACGGGCTTCCTGGCTGTCTTCCTGTGTCCGGTATGGACTCTGTCCCAGGTCCCCGGCAGCTGTCCCCCCTCCCTCGTCTGCATCTGGACCTTCAGGTGGCTCATCGTTCGCATCATGCTGGGAGCTGTGAGTCCAAATCACAACTATTCGGTCCTTCAAATTGATGGACCTCGTGGAACTCCAACAAAAATCGATAAAGTTTGCGTTTTTAATGTGATAAAATATGGAAAAAAGTTCATGCAAACAGTGAGCAGATGGAGTCATTCTGGTGTTTGTCCTCCTAGTTTTAAAGCGATACTTTGGAACCGCTGTCCTGCTCCATCGCTCTCCCGGTGTTTGTTAAAGCCAAACACCGGGAGAGCGCGACTCAACAACACAGCGCCTCGTTTGTCAGGTTTCACGGGGGATTACAGAGGACAGAGCTGGTCTTTATTTGACAAGTCGCCGCCACCAGCCGAGTGGAACTCCTCCCAGCAGGAGCCCAGGGAAAACTCAACACACCTCCACTTCGCTGGAACACACAATCCACTTCACATATAAACTCATCAGTATATTTAGGGTTCTCCTCCAGCCTAACCCTGCTGAAGTCATGTCATATTTTAACGCCGTTCTGGTGGTAATGAACTCAGTAATATCTGCGGGGTTTGCCTTGAAACTGTTCAGACTGCAAAGAAAGTGTTTGCAACAAAGTACCTGCAGCTCTGGAGAGAAACAGCTTGTTGCATCAGCAGCAGGCTGGGATGGTAGCAAAAGTATAGCGAAATGGGTTACTGAGTAATACTCCAAATATGCTTGGTATGTTCTCAGACTCATGCTGAATTGCGACACGTCAGGCTTTACGTTTTGCACATTTCCATTTTTCTTCTCCATTTTTAGATTTTAAAGACCTCAGCTGAAGCCTAAGACATGCTCAGCTTTGTTTTCAACACAGCCGGCTCATCCAGATACAGCATTCGTCCCATTTGTGTCAGAGTTGGTGTTTTTAGACATGGATGCAAACGTTTAATTGAACTAATCACTAATCTACTAATTAGGCTAATAGATGATTTTTTTAAAAATAAAAATGCTCGCTGATTATGAAAAGTCTTGGTTAAATATATACTGCTCCTTGAAAATGTAGTGTTGCAACCCAAGGCTTCATTGTAACTCAAAGCCGTTTTCCCTGACAGAGTTACACAAATATTTTGCGCTTGTGAATACGAACAAAAAGCAATCAAAACCTAAAAAAAAAATACAACATTTTGAAAGGTATGGTGTGAATTTTTATGCAGTTTCCTTGCCATTACTCTGGTAGCCATTAGGGGTTCACTGATTGATCGTCGCCAAGTTTCTTCATTGTGGTCAATCAGCGATCAGCCTTAAACATACACCTGGAGCCGCACAGGAAAGGCTCAAATGTGATGTACACGCCTAAATCCAATTGAGAATCTTTAATTACAGTTGAGCCAGGCTCATGTTAGCAGCTTCATTATAAATGAACAGCATCATGTTGGTCGGGGTTGAAACCTTTGCCAGTTGCTCAGAGTGCAAATGCAGCAGTTTCCATCGCATCATGTGGTTTCTTTAAAGGCCCGTTGTTCCATTGAAGATGAGACTAAATGTTTCTTTGGAAGGTGGTATAATTCTTATTTTAGTACTTCTAAAAACTCCTGCCATGGTGCCCTATTGGTGTCACATGCTGACAGATGAGATTATTCCATTAGTGACATCTCTGTCTTTTATAGCTTCTAATGGGCCTCCTGTCAACATTGCCCGGGCTTGAACTTTATCCATCTTCCCATAAACTCAGGTGAACTTTTGTGTCTCTTTTGAAGAAAATAATGTTAGCGTTATGCTACGCTAACCATGCGTCCCTGGTGTTTTCAGAAAGAAGTCCAGTAGTATTCCACTATTAGAGGATAGTTGTGTAGGCTTACGTCCAGCTATCTCTCTACCTGGTGCTCCATTTTTTCAGTCCAGTTGTAATTGGTGAAATGTCTGCGTCTCATGACTGATGAGGATGAACAGCATGGTATTGGACCTCACCACCTCCACAGCCAAGCTCCTAATGAGAGAGAGACGTTCTGCTTTTTCCTAAATTCAATCAAACAGGTTAGCGGGCGCCTTACTGTGCGTTCTGTGCTCAGCCACATGACCAGCTGATGTGTCAACATCGGTGGTCTCGTGTTTTGGATAAGACGTTATTCCCTTAGCTGTTTGGATGGAAAACAGCTGAGGATGGTGGGTGGGTAGTGGTGTTAGTCATGGAGCTCAACCATGAAATCCTAACTGTGGAAACTGAAACCTCAGTAGTTCCTGCCATCAAGTGTTTGTGCAATCAGTCAAGGTTTTTACCACCCGTGTCCTCAGGAATATGGTGGCAGTTGTTAATGGAGTCTTTGTTGGTGGGATGTGTGTGTAGCCACTGTTATCTATTGGAAGATTTAAGCCATTTGTCACCTTTTAGTGTCTTTTTCCTTGTTTTTGTAAGACAATGAGCTCATCTCTGAAATTTTTTGATAATTTTTTTTGCTTAGAAAGCAAACTGATGCAGACCAGAAATAAAAAAACCTCTGGTCTGCTTACAAATCTAGGTTTCGGTTTAGTAAAAGTGAACTTTGGCGTGGCTCGATTGCCGAGCAGACCAGAAACCCTTCCAAAAGCAGGAAGCAAACTATAGCACAGGGCATTCTGGGTAAATGCTTCCAGATTCAATGCTAGGGTCTAAGACTTGTGGGAGAAATAGCTCATGGTGTTTTGCTACAAACAAAAGAGAAATCCTTTAAAAGCTCAAATCTGATGCCACGCTACCATATTTCGCAAAGACGAAAGTTGTGATCAGTGTCTTCTTCTGAGGTTTTTGTGTCATTTCCATCTGGTTCTTTACATAGTGCCACCACTGGTGAAGAGGTGAACCTGTTTTTCAACAATTTTGGTCCACAATCAAACAGAGTCTACCAGACCACTTTCAGTGTTTAATTTGAATAAAACGCATGTAACATTAGTTCTTAGTATGTATTCAAGCTTTAGAATGGCGTCCAGTTGTATTTCACATTGAGTTCACTGCTTGTTTTCTCTCTTTGTTCAGGGCCTCATTAAAATCAGAGGAGACCAGTGCTGGAGAGACCTGACCTGCATGGACTACCACTATGAGGTTACTCTTCATTTATTCCATTAAGTCATTGCACAGCAGTGTATATAATATGGTGATGAGCCTTGAATGCGTGCTTTTACTTATTAAAATAATTCAATCAATACTTTTTTAAATGACATTTTGTTTAGTTTTGTGTTAAAATTGTTTCCTGGGCTTTTAGTGACACCAAGGCTGCTCACATTTCTGCTCAGTCATGATCTGAATGATGAGGTCTCAGATGGAGGAAGGGCCTTCTGTAATGATCAAACACATGACTGGAGAAAATACACACAAGGCCAAAGTCACGATATCACTTGTATCATTATGAAAGATTGTTGCTTTATTGAACATGTTAATTAGATTAAATGTATCTCAGTTAAAACACCCGCGCTTGTTTTTCTGCAAGTCTTGATGTACTATAATGTTTTGCAATTCAACTCCCTGGGGATTGTGCATTTTTTAGGCCAGAAGTCAATGGATGAGTGAAGATTGCTAAAACTTAAAATTGTATTCAAAGCACATGATGGACAGTTTCTCTGGTTCCTTCTGAGTGAAACAGAATGGATCTTTTATATCTGTCACGTAGCAGAAAAAGTTTTGAACGGCCTCGTTGCTTTGTGGATTTGCTGGGTTAGTTTTCCTGGTCCAACTCCAGCTTTCGACACCCCCAGTGCTAATGTTGATTTACACACACACACTCTCTCTCACACACACGCGTTCTAAGACCGGAAGGCCATGGCGCCAGTTGACGCCGCATTAACCCCTTTGACACACTGCTCCCTTTCAGACCTGCAGTGGGACTGCAGATTTCCTCCCGTCCCGACTCTCAGGGGTTACGGTGGCGATGCATTGCGGGACAGTTAGTACTTTGTTCATACAGGGTTGGTTGTCATTAACGCACCATATGGAGATTTAGATCCCCCACCTGTTAAATAATCAAAATTTTCCTTGTGTTTTATTCAGAAATACAATAAAAGTATTGATCCGTTTGACAGCTGCATAATTTTTTTCCTTTCCACCTATATTTGTGCCATATTTATTTTTCCTGACTTAACCCGCGTCTGTTTGCCTGTTCAGCCAAAGCACATTTTGCAGGACAAACACTGAGAAAGCTCCAAGTGTTTGCCTGGGTGAAGGTGCGGCCGCCTTCATTTAAATAAGGTTCCATCTTTATTTAGTCTTGGAAAAGTTCTCCTCGCGGTGTGGTGCAGAAATGACTCCCCTGACTCACGCTCAGATGAGCGCCAAAGCAAAGCAGTGAAAACTTCCATCCGTAGCGTCAGTACTCCTCACAAATTCAACATGTTGGCTGTAAACTTTCTACTGGTCATGCACTGATTCACCATGACCGATCTTTGTAGCAATCTGACCTACCAGTATCGTTTCTTTTTTTTTATTCTAATAATTAGCTAAGTAAATCGCGAGACATGTCTGCTTGCCTCAGAGATATCTCTATATATCTTTGGGTTACATAAATTAGGTTCTCTCCTTTGGTCCTTTACAAGACCAGATTGTCTTGCAATTTTCCTGTGAATGATCATAGTTTATTCACATCAGGACCAGAGGTGACGTCACACTGTGTAAGCAGCAAAATAGAATTTGTCTGTTCTTGAAGTTAAAATGATCAGTCTTTAGCATCTTTCATTAGCATTTAGCACAGTTAGGACTAATCTCAAACATTAGTCTGTGCGTTTATTCCTTGTAAGCCGGTGAGTAAACCCGAGATTTAAAAAAAAGGCCAATATTTTCTCCCCCAACTTGTCTTGTGACAGATAGTTGGAGAATACAATGAAGGGACTTCCTGTTGTTTGCTTGAGACATGAGACCGTCATACAGTGACCGTCACAACATTTAATTTCACTCTGAGATGAAATAGGATTGAGCCTAAGTGTATTGAATTGAATTGAAATGTGTCTCCAGACCCAGCCAGTGCCAAACCCCATGTCCTACTACATGCACCGCTCCCCGTGGTGGTTCCACCGCTTCGAGACACTGTCCAACCACTTCATTGAGCTCATCGCTCCCTTCTTCACCTTCCTGGGCCGCCGGCTGTGCATGGTGAACGGAGCCATCCAGATTCTCTTTCAGGTAGCTCTGTGGGAGACTAGCAAACACAATCAGCTTTTTTTTTCGTGTGATTTTTTTTTATTTGTTCATTTTTTAAGCGTACATTGTACCCACTCTGTTCTGTGGCTTTTGTTTCCTCCATCACTCCTTCCTGGCCTGCAGGTGGTCTTGATCATCAGCGGGAACTTGAGTTTCCTCAACTGGCTGACCATTGTTCCGAGTTTGGCCTGCTTCGACGATGCATCTCTAAGCTTTCTGTTTCGCTGCGGCTCCAGGGCTAAGAAAGCGGCGCTGGAAATGCAGAAGAAGGAGGTGACCGGAAAAGGTCCCAAACCCACAAAAGGTGTCTTTACTCTTCTTTTTTTTAATTATTGTTTTGTATAATATCCAATAGTTGTCAGAAAAGGCAGTGTGTTTGATCATGGTGGAAAGAGAACTACAGTAAAATACAGTACAATTAAGTAAAAGGGATAAATTATTTCAATTTGAAGGATTTTCTTATGGAACCGGTTGTCATGAATGTAAGAAAACCCCGCTCTTCTATAACTAGACTTACAGTAGATTTACTACTTTTACTATACTGAGTTTCAAATAAGCCTATGGGTTTAGGTGGGAACTTGCTTTAATAATTCAAACAGAGCCAAAGTTGGATTTTGTAGGAATTAAAACAGTTTTGATGGATTATAAGAAGTAGTTGAACATACAGGAGTGGGAAAGAACCAACATAAATTTGACTACTGCTTTGTGTCTCTAACATCCTGCCAGGCTGTCAAGATTCAACCAGCAATGATAAATGTGGCCGTTTTCCATTGTGGGATTCATTCCCACAAATCCCACAAGACACCCATGAGATGCTATTGATTCATCCTGTTCCTGTGTGTGTGTGCGTGTGTGTGTGTGTGTTAGGCATGTTGATACGGCGGGTGTTGAACATTTCTTTGGGTGTTCTCATTGGTGTCCTGAGCGTGCCGGTGGTGATGAACCTGTTGAGTCCGCGGCAGGTGATGAACACTTCCTTTGACCCGTTGCGCATCGTCAACACCTACGGGGCTTTTGGAAGGTACAGTTTGGAGGATTTCATTACATGACCAATCATGAACACTCCAACTTAAAGAGAAGCCAAGTTTATTTGCACAGAACATTTTAGCAACAAGGCTGTTCAAAGTTTATTATACCGTAAAAATATCACACAGTCACCAATCATAAAACAAGGAATAAACATTAGTTTGTGAAATGCCATTGTCAAGCAAATATACATCAAATATATTGATCAATGATCTAGTTATAAATCAAAGGCAACTTCCTTTCATGTAATTTGGTGCCGTTAAAGTGTTAAAGAAAACCCATCGTTATCTCATTTAATCTTTTCGTTTCTCTGTCCTCTGGGAAGCATCACCAAAGAACGGACCGAGGTGATCTTCCAGGGAACTCTGAGCCCAGATCCCAAAGACCCTGAGGCGATTTGGGAGGAGTACCAGTTCAAGTGTAAGCCGGGAGACGTGTACCGACGGCCCTGCCTCATATCGCCCTACCACTACCGGCTGGACTGGCTCATGTGGTTCGCTGCCTTCCAGGTGCATTGACAACTTCTACCTTTCAGTAGTAGTTGTTTTTCTGTGCTGAGTCTGTAGTGACATTGTGTTTGCGCAGACCTATGAGCAAAGCGAGTGGGTCATCCACGTGGCGGGACGCCTGCTGGCCAACGACAGCACCATCCTCTCGCTGCTCGACCACAACCCCTTCCAAGACAGAGACGCCCCCAGGTAAACACACACATGAGCATCACCAGCTTCACTCCAAAATTCACTTGTAAATCAAACTACCACTGCTGAGCAGAACAATTTTTGTCTTAGGGCTCCCCCTGGTGGAACAAATAACAATTATACCACAAAAAAATATGTATTTATAATAAAAATCCTGGAAATTTATGTCTTTATCCTAACAAAAGGCAGATCTTTACAAGGTGTGAGAGTTAAACTGCCCTCCCCAGTTTATTTAAAATGTATTAAGATTTATTAAACTATTTTGTGTTCTGCATTTTTGAGACGTAGTAACAGTAGTTACAGTTTTCTTTGGCAAGGGAGTTAACATTATAATATAGTATAGCTTATTGTCATGTTGATTGACATTTGCAAAAATATCCATACCCCTTGAACTGTTTTCAAGTTATTCAAGTAACATTCACACACTTGTGTGTTTTATTTGGTTTTTATGTGATTTACCTGCAGAAAGTAGCATTGTTTTAAAGTGGAAGGAAAATAACACCTGCAAAATTAGGAACATTTCAATTCTCAAAAGGAATTTAAATGTTGGGCTTCTCTTAAAATCTTTATCTTTGATGTGGGGTCAAAGTTCAGCTGTTATTTGAGCTTTTGAGATTCTAATCAGCTGGTTCCAGTTGTAAAAACAAAAAACAGCACTTGGTGACCTGGTTGCTCAACAGAGCTATCTGAAGACGAAAGAGTGAGAGCAAACTCCTTCCAGCTGTCCATCGTCCAAAACCAGAGGGAATAATTGTCCATACAAGCAATTCCTCAACCACAAACATGTTTAAAAGTCAATAAAAAGGACAAATCAAACTCAGATACAGAGAAATTGCAATAGCAAAATTTTAGACGTGAATAAAATACTCTAAAATATGATAACTCCAGCAGGTATTATCATATTGCCAATAATTTTTGGGAAAATGTAATTTTACCTGTTTGCTCCACAGCAGTACTCAAAAACATGACTACATCGGTGACCGTTCTATGCTTCTACTTTGTCAGATGGGTTCGAGGAGAACACTTCAGGTACAAATTCTCTCAGCCGGGCAGCGCCAGCGCAGCGCAGGGCAAATGGTGGCTGAGAAAACGCATCGGAGCCTACTTTCCTGCTGTAGACCTGGAAGGACTCAGAGGCTACTTCCAGTCCAGAAACTGGCCTCACCCACATATCTCACCAAGCAGGAGCTGAAGTCATTTCAAAGCAGTTTGGAGTCAAGGTTACACTTTATGCAGACGACATCAGGTTTCTCAAGAACTGCTTGACAAAACGTCTCCTCACTCTGAACACCAGTACAACCATTCCCAATCAATGTGAAGGTTTTGAAGCTCTCAGTTTCAAACGAATAAGCTCTGAAAACATGCTGAGGATACCTGAAAGTAAACGTACTAACCGGTTGAAAATGTAAAAAATGAAAACCGCCACCATGACAACTTCGGTCAACTTGTATCATTTTCTCTCCAAGTCTCTGTGGCTTCCTGCATTCTTTATTTTTTTTAACTAGCTTTAGCTTAGCGGAATTTTGAGAGTCGAGTCACATTAGCATGCTGTCTGGGACCAAAATACAGTGTCAAAACAAGCTCACTTTCACTAGAGCACTTGTGTAAATAACAAAAAAACACTAAGGAGGTCTTCTTTGTCAAAACATTTTCAAATCTAAATATTTTTCTTTACAAAATTTCAAATATGGGTCCTGTGGTGGCGCAGGGGCAATGCATGACCCACATATTGAGGCCTTATTCGTCGTGGCGGTGGTCGCAGGTTTGATTCCTGGCCTGGCGAAATATGCTGCATGTCTTCCCCCTCTCATTACCCACTTTCCTGTCAGACTACTTTCAAACATAGGCCTTTAAAAATATATATATATAAATTTGAAATTCAGAGGAGAAATATTTGATAGACTGAAAAACCTATTTTGAATACATTTAAACAAAACAGTGTTGAAAGAAAGCAGATGGCCAAACTTATTTTCTCTGATGAAACATCCTTTTATTAATATGGAACAGCTGAGAAATTATTCATCTTCCTTGGAGATGTGCTTTTTCTTCTTCTCAAGCACTTCCATTAATAAAGAGTGAGCTCTAAATGCCTTCCAAGAGTATTTTCCAGCATGATGGAGCACCATTTCACACAACAAAATGTGAAAACTTTGTTTCAAAGAGCCTTCCCAGATCATAACAATTCTGAGAATGTGTTGTCGCTAGCAGGTTAACCAAAAATGTCCAACAAACCTGATCAACTCTGAACTCTGATGACAAGAATGGATCATCATAAATCAATAGTTGGTCCAGAACCTGCAGCAGGGAAAACTTGAGTTTTAAAGAAGAAAGATAAACACTATAAGTGTTAATTATTTATATAAATTGTGAAAATTTACATATGAAATTCTTAAAACGTTTAAAAAGTTTGAGTCACCCATCATTAATCCAGAGACATGGAGAAGAAACTAAAAAGCCACAGGACAACGCAATATCAAAGAAAGACCAGCAGATGGTGCTGTTACTCCAGACACCCAGTCTTATCTGACCCCAGCTGAACCTCTACAGATAAAAATGTGTTCAGGAACAGCTCAAGTACAACCAAGCATCAAGCCTGCCATAAACTGGAAGATGTTGGACAACCATTCTCATTGAACACAGAGAAGAACGTCTTCCTTCACACATGGAAAAGCCAGATGCCTTCTGGAGAAAAACTTTACAGAGAAACCAGATTTTGGACTATTTAACCTGGGTGACAAAATGAACTAGATGGAGATGTAAAGGGAAGCTTCATGCTGAGGAATTGTTTCACTGAGGTTTAATTTGAAAAAAATAAAAGACTTCACTGAATCCTTTTCATTTCTTGTCCTCCCCCCTTATTTTGGTCCTTCTTAACTCTTTCTGTTGCCTTCCTTTTTATCTTCTAAAAAGAAAGGCAACAACATATATTTTTGTACTTGTGTTGTATCTTTCCCTTCCTTCATTGTGTCCTACCACTGTTCTTCCTTTCTCCCTTGTCTTTCTTCCTTCCTTGTGCCACCTCCTTCCTCTTGTGGCCTGCCTTATTTCTTCTATGTACCCTCTCTTTCATACCCTTATATCCTTACTTCCTTCCTTTTTCCTTCTTTGTATCCTTTCCTCATTGCATTCCTACCCTCCTTCAAGGGTACCTTTCTTCTACCCTTGCATCTTTGTTCTTCCTCTCTTTCTTACATTGCTTCCCATCTCCTCTCCATTAATGGCTCTTTTCTTCCTTCCTTTGGATCTCCTTTCCTTCGTTGCACAATCATTTCTTGTGTATTTATAAAGATTTTATTTTTATTTTATTTTATGGTGAATGCAAAGAATGTGATTTCTGGAAAGTTGACTTCACCCTTAGCTTAACAAGTCATTTCTGTCCAGATAACAGATAAATGTGTCTTTGTGATAAAGGTTTTCCAGCATGTTGAATAAATTCCTCGGAGAATGAAAAGCCTTTCACTATGTGGCCCATTTTCCACAACAATGTCCAGTGCAATTTATTTCCCAGTGTCAGCTGAGGATCCAAACTGTTTTAGCAAAAGGAAAGAGACCTTGAGAGTCTTGGTTACATGAACAAGCAACCATTGTAATTCCTCAAACACTGCTGCAGAGCATTATGTGCAACAGTGAGAAAAATTGCACTGCTTGAATTAAACATGTATTGACATAGGAGCAGACTTTTCTTTACTGTTTCACCCTGAACCCACTTGGGAATGTTCTTGATCTTAGTTTTCCCTAAGCACACGGTTTCAGAAAATATTATCAAGCTCCACATGTTAACGTTTGTGATGGTCGGTCACTAAAGGCTTAATGTGCATAACCAATTAGCATGTAGGTGGTGTCTAATGGTTGATGCCCAGAAGATAGTTATGGTCCACCAGTTAGAGTTGACGCGTTCTGATCAACTTCAAGTACAAATCAACACATTTTAGGGGATACAACTGTGTGTTTTTCTTTTAAATGTTATTTGAGTTACCGCTATGAATACAAGAACACATTTTTCTTACCGTAAAAGAGTCAAGTGAGAAAAATGTATTCACACCAAAGCTAAGCAGGCAGCGTTCCTCGGTCCGTTTGCTTGGAAGTCCGTCTTCCTTACAGCAGCAGTCACAGATGGGCGTCTGTGCTCCACCTCGTATTTTGAAGCTCATTGGTTTTGATACATCAGTCGCACAGCAAGGGTGTTTTTAATAACTTCGCCCCCAAACGGATCTGCATGCTTGTTGGCTGCAATCCCTGCCTCCAGACTGCAAATCAATTTCCTTGTAGCCTTTCTGTCAAGTTTCCCCTTTATGGGGACTTTGATGCTTTGCTTGCAGCTTGCACACTCTGTCACACCACCATCTATTCCAGGCCCCCACCAACTGTGTAGTGTGTCGCAGATATTTCTTGCCAACCACCAATTTAGTTTTGAGATATTTCTAGTTGGGTTGATAAAGCAAACATGCCAAGGAAAGATTACACAAAAAGGGTCCCACTAGGAAACTCTGTCCTCAAGAATAAACATCAAACTGCATCGAAAGTTTTGAAAGAAATTGATGTTCTGCAAATTTTGCGTCAAAGTAGCAATAATACGAACACACACTGTAAGAATGAGTCTGCCATGCTGTGGACAGACAGCACATCCTTTGTGCTCATGGTGACAAAAATGGCATCTGGAGCATGCATTAATGGGTTCTTAAATGATGCGAGCCACTGACTAAAACTCGGTGGCATATGCCGTACTTCATGTTTTGTCACATTGCAGCCACATATTCAATACTTTCTTGCAGTGGAGATCTTTTGGGGGTATTCCTGCACGTACCTTTACCCACTCTGCTAAATAACTCAAGCTCAGTCAGTCCAGACGGAGACTTCGATGAACCCGTTAGGTTCATTATCATCTTAAAAACAAATATTTGCAAAGGTGTGCAGAATGTCAGGGATTTTTTTTCTCTTCATATCTCCCTCGGGTGGCTTTATATATATATATATATTTTTTTTTTGAGTTGCTCAAAGCAAACACTGTATGGTGTACTGGAATCAATTATTGATAAATGCCTAATTTATTCGAAAAGATTGAAGTCATTGTTTGTATTCACTAGACAGGACCAACTCCCAATTGTTTTCTTCCACTCAACTTTCCATTGCACAGGATACACTTCTTTGTCAGTGGCTTAATGAGCGACTTTCTACCTGACCTTGTAGCCCTTAGCTCAACATTTCACTTAAAAAGAGCTGCACTCGTCGATTTTCTTAAAAAGCCAAAACATATTCTTGGCTCTGTGTGGCGTCAATGCGCCGTATTAGCGATGCCAGACAGCGCGAGCGTAAACAGTCCTCAGCTTCCTCGCATCCAGCGGGACAACAGCAGCAGTCCCTCCTCAGAGCCAGAGCGCTGACGCTTTTCTTCTTCTTTTAATTTTACGCACAGCCATGATTCTGACGCACAGGTGAGCTTCTCTTCCCTCAACCGCGCAGCAGCAGCAGCAGCAGCAACAACTTAACGCGGAGTGAAGCGTCCTCCCCTCTAACCGACCCGAAACTTCACGCGCTTTCCTCACTCCTCGAGCAGCGTCAAAAGTTCAACCCGGAGCCATGTCCAGGAAGAAGGCAGCGAAGGGCAGAGGGACCTCCAAGAGCCCAAAGGCGTCTCCGAGCAGCGGGCGGACGGCGAAGGGTCTGGCCGCAGCCGGCGCGCCGTCCTCGGCTCTGGTCTACCCGAGCAGACCGTCCATCAGCAACAGCGGCGAGTTTTACGACGTCGCCTTCAAGGTGAGCGGGGCTGGCGTTCGGGGCGCGTGCGGCGAACGCTCGCGCCGCACGCGAGGACAGGGAGAGCACATGCAAGTTTCCCCAGCTGCAAATGTCCACTAATTCGGCTGCTTTAACCCTGTGACGCTTCTCATTCCTAAAATAAAGAAAAGTGAACCAAAGTGAGATTTCCTGTCGCTTGAAACCTTCCAAGAATTTCGGTGACATATGGGAGCGCGCGTGTCGCACACGAAAGTGAGGAAGAAAGTTTTGAAAACGGAACAAAAAACAAGTTGCATTTTCGACGCGTTCTCGTTGTTTTCAGTGTTGATTCTTTTTGAGTGCGGGTTGTCTATGGAGTTTAGTCTTTGTGTATTGCGCCACAGTCCAGTGCTGTAAACCCGGAGGAGAGGATGGAGACAGGTCTCTATAATTAATGAGATCAATTAACTGCAGAGCAGGAGGAGGCTTTTGCTGGAGCAGGAGTCCTGCTGATAAAATATGTTTATTGCTCCTACACACCCTGCAGCAGTAGAACATAGTCATATCTTTGAAGTTATCATCATTGAAGCATGCATATATATATATATATATATATATATATATATATATATATATACACAAATCAGATACAATACTTTAATGCAGTGAGTGAAATTCATGACTAGATTTTATATTTCAACCTTGGCTTGAATTGAGACATTTAGCAATGTGTTCTATATTGTTTAACAAAATAATAGCAAGAAAAATAGAAGTCAACATTTTTTTTTTGTTTGTTTGTTAAATGGTGATTTGGACCAAAGATGAGCTGACCTGCCTTGTTTCTAATCTAAATGGATGTTTTCTGTCTTTAAATGTATAAAAGAAGAGCAAACATTGTGGAAATTCGCACAAAAAAATCAAACGATCCCATGCTCTTTTTTTTTTTTTACGCTATTGCGTAATTGTGAGATTATGAATTTAATATGTTGGGTTAAAGTGACAACTATCTGCAGGTAGCAGTATTTCCTACTTATTTCACAAAAAACATTGTGTCGCTGGAGCTCAGTGCTGCCCCCTATCAGCACTGACGGGGCACAGCACTTTCTTCCTCACCATGCACATTTTTCACTATGTATTTGTGGCCAATCAGAAGATCAATTCAGCTTATGACGTCATATGACGCCAATTTACAACATCAGCTGAGGGCACTGTACAAAAATCAATCCAATCATACACACATTTAAAAAAAAAAGACTTGTCACTCACATTCATTCAGGAGTGGATTAAATATGTAATCAAACATGCTTATTGGGTGACATAAAGAGAAATGGCAATGGGCGTGTGTGATACAGAGCCAGAAGAGGTAAGTTAAAGCGCACCATTGCCTCGCTTCGCCCTGCTCCCAAATGTTTGGACGAGCAAAATCAGCAAAAGAAAATGACCACAAAAATGTTCAAAACCTTCAGGAAACAAATTTCTAGGACAGTCAAGTGGGCATATTGATTGTTCTCTTGTCATTGTTGGCATTTGACTTGTCCTGGTGACTCACCTGCCTCCCCTGATTGCACGCCACTGCACTCATGGGAAGCCAAATCAGAGGCTGGTGATGAATTATGTGCAGTTTCCGAAAAACTTGGATTCCTTTTTATTCTTTGGAAATGCTGACACCATGTGTGGTAGAACGTTATCATGACAGTGCCTTGCTAGGGAAGTTTTTTGCCTCTCAATTTTTGTTTAGTTATGTTTTGCCATGATGCAACCACAAACTCTAAAGGCATAAAAATTAATAAAGGTGATTGATGTGGGTGTCTTCCAGCAAACCCGGTGGCCCGCCAGGCTTATATTACTCTGTGGCTCTACATAAATCACTTCATAGGCTGACAAAGTCTAAGAAAAGCTGAATGGAAATGCAACAGTTTGAGAATTTTGTTTGCAAAAGTTTTACACCACATATCATTTCCCTTCCACTACATATTTATAAACTATTTTGTGTTGAAATCCCAGTTAATGACATCAAAGTTTGTGGGCTGACTTGACAAAATGTGAACATTTTCAAGCATGAGGATTCTTTTAGTGGATGCTATGCAAAAAATACTTGTAAACGGTTATGACTCGAGGGCCAGTTTTATGCTAATGCTAATGCTCTCCTGCACTTAGTCTGCAGTGTCCACATGCTTTAGACCGAGCCGTGTGTAAAGTGATGTAATTACCGTTAAATGCATGCTGTTACTTCAGCAGTTCACAGTACCTTTCCAGTGCGATGCAGAGACATGCTGAACATACGAGTCCTCTTTATATTTAGGTTTTTTTGAGTTTATATTGGACTCTATAGAGCTTCCATTCAAACATTTATGGAAATGTTTCACGCAAAGCCACAGTCTGTTTCCTTTTTATGACAAAAGCTGTTGAGTTGAACAATGCCTATTAGGTAACGCCAAACAGTAAACATATTTTCATAATCCATGCTAAAATTACTGTTTTAATAGGCAGAGCATTTCTTTTGGGGTTTTTTTTTTTTTTTATACCAAGAGAAACATGTTTAGACTTTCTTTTGAAAATCCAAAATGTCAGTCGTATGACACGAGGAACGACTGAGATGTGAACAAAGTGAGATCTGGCAACTTTATCGACCGATCCAATATCTGAGCAGGGCTTAAGAGATTTAAATATGAAACACTTAATAGACTAAGCGATGGATAATTAGGACGGACCACAGATGGAGAACGCGGCGGTAATTAGAATGGTAAAATGCAAATGGAAGACTTAATCATAACATGCTCTGAGGAAATGTCAATCCAATCTGATTTGAACTCTGCCACAGAGTCTCTGCACCAAAGCCACACATTTGAAACTGCTAACTGTTTTAAATGTTGCAACTAATCACTGAGAATGAATAAAATTCCATCAGGCGGATAACCATATGCTGTGTTGTTTCTGCTTTAGGTGATGCTGGTGGGGGATTCAGGCGTGGGAAAGACCTGCCTGCTGGTCCGCTTCAAAGACGGAGCCTTTTTAGCCGGCAGCTTCATCTCCACCGTCGGCATCGATTTCAGGGTACGCCTTATTTGACTCCGACCAGCTTCCCCGTTGATGCATTCCCACAGTATGACGCTGCTACCCCCGTGTTTCACTGTGGAGATGGCGTGACGTGCTACAGTAGTTTTCTGTCACACATTGCAAGTTCAGTTTTTTTTCTTCGAATGTCATCCCCTCATCAAAAACATCCCTGCATTGTTGCTTTGATTCTTCCATGCATGTTTTGAGAAATCCTCTAACTTCCTGTGCGAACCATTCAGCTGGCTAGACACGGCTCTGCCTTCGCAATTTCAAAGCAACTCCCCCACTCAATTCCTTTAGACTAGCAGAAGCAATTGGCAAACACCTAGTGTTTGCACATCTTTAGACATTGTTAAAGGGTTAATAGAAGAGCGATGTTGTGGTGACTTTCTGAAAGCGGAGCTTCAGGAAGAGGAGGAGTTTTTAAAGAGTTAGAGGCCCGATTCAAGGTGTTAAATTAGGAAGTGAAGCTTCTCCTTAAACCATATTTGATATAAATAGCTCTTTTATAACAAACAAAATTAGCAGTTAGTTGATTATTTTATGAAGTGGCACTACAGTACTGCCTCTTTAAATATAAAAATAAAAGCTCGGGTTGATCTAATTTTCCATTTTTGTTGTGGCTGCAGAAATAACATGGCAGTCACACGAAAAATAAGAACTTGAACAAGACAGAATATGAACATCAAAGCATATGACTCCTGCTTCACGAATCCCTCCCTGTGTTAAATATTTCAACTGTATAATGACTGAGATTCCCTTTCCTCTAAGGTGTCGCAGATGAATATTATAATGACACGGTCAGAACTATTTTCCACAATAATTACCTTCCTTCAGGAAAGAACCGACACTTAAATCTAGAATTAGTTCAAGTCTGAACATTTCCTAACATCATTAGTAGTTAATTGAGGGTTTTTCCCTGGAACCAGATATTTTCCACACCCAAAATCACGTTTGACCTGAATAAAGCAAACCTATCAACAATAGTTTAAAAAGACTGTTTTGATGGGTGAATGGATTGTTGTTTGGTTTACTGCTCGTGGCAAACCAAAGTACTGACAGTGCCTTGAGGGACAATTACAGAGAGGTGTCCCGATGGCAACAAAAAACCAATCGCCCATTAATTGTGGCTGCTGAGGACTAGGAGAGATGACCGGTCTCTGACTTTTACTGCCTTGCTGCTCCCTGAAGCAGGATGCCCACACAACCTGACACAGAGCTTTAGAGAAACTCACCCCAACACCACCACCGCCACCCAGGAGGTTTCTGAGCCCCGATGCACTGATGCTGTCAAGCGGAACTGCTTATGGGGGAACAACAGAGCAGAAAGACGCTCAAACCAGGTCAATAAACACAGAACTGAGAGGTGGGATTCAGCAGCGCAGCAGACTGCTTCAGGATATGGAATAATTGACACACACTAGTTTAGTTCATCACAACTAAAGTAAGCATCTCTATTAAAGTCATCTCAGCAGTATTTCAGTAGATCATTGTTTTGTCTCAGTATGTCAGGGAGACTGATTACCCAAGTGTTTCTGTTCACACCATTGATCGCTTCCTATTGTAGATCCAAGCTCCTTTAAATATATCCTTTTTCATCTGCAGAATTTGAAACTTCTGTGATTCTTGGTTTGTTTGTTTTTTCCCAGCCTGGAGTTGCTATGCTTCCACTCACTCGCTGCAACCCAGTCAGCCTCCGTTGCTACGGCTGCGTACCAGTGCTCTATGCCCGACGAGTTCAGCTGAACAAAAACAGAGTTTGCTATCGCACACAGTGACTCTCGGGTACCGGAGACAAGAAATGTTTTGTCAGGGCAGAACAGTTAGTCCTGACTGAGATTTCCTGTTGACTAGCAAAAATATGGAAGATTTTAAAATTGTGCCTTAAAGGCAGGTCACTGCATAACAACCCAATGGCAGATATTATGCAAAGAGGAAAGGTCAAAGGTTCCTTTCTCCCCATCCTCCGACCTAATGAAAGGGTGCAGCAGTAGGCAACGGTGTGTCAGAAAACAAAGAGCAGAACATTCAGACTGTTACAGTATTATGCTTTCAGGTCTGATGTTTATCTTACAATTATTAATAAGTGATGGCTGTGGTGGATTAGCTACCACCTAATTGAAACACCTGCTGTACTGATGACCTGCCAGGGAGTTGGTGTGTGGGTCGCCTTTTCAGTTTTATCTGAATTGAAACGCCGAATTCTGCAGCACTTCACATGTTACGGTTGTCAAAGTCAAGCCAGCATAACTGACCTGTTTCCTTCTTCCTCACTAATTATTTTTTAATTGAAACCTTTTTCTGATCTGCTTATTTAGTTATCATAGTGGTGACAATTAGTAGCAAAGCGCCGTGTCGCTTTTTCTTTTACATATCGGACGCACATTTAAGATTTAACGCATTGGATTGAGAACTTGGCAGCCAAAACCAGAAGCTGTCATTGTCAGTGAGCAGCTTGTTTTGTTATCCAGCAAAGGAGTGGGGGTGGGGGGCGGGTTCTAGAGCCAGTGACATCACGCTGCAGTGTGTCTGTAACCTCTTACATGAGATGTTTTCATATTTCATCCATGAAACTAGTGCTCATCGTCAGCCATCAATGGTTGGTGTTTTATTCGCCCAAAACCTTTCAACTTTCCATCACTTTGCGGCCGGTTACATTTATTATCAGCAGACTGAATGTTCAAGGAAAGTACTGCCAGAGCTGCTTCATTCAAACAGTCTTCTAATTCTTGTCAGGCCCACATTCATACATGTGGACAAAGTAATTATAGTGTGTGGCGTGTTTTGTAAGGCCTTTTTCTCTAACATGTGACAGATTGAATGCGGTTTTTAAAGCTACTTTGTTTCGACTTTAAAATCTCACAGGGCTTAGCACAGACATAGTCCTTCCATTACGACTTCTCTAAATCTTTCCTGAGATGTCTTGTGTGCTTCCAGATCATTGCAGGATCATAATATAGTTTCTTTATATCAATGACAATAAGTAAAAACATAGAACGACTGAAATGTAACTGGAGCCATTCAACTAAATGACTGTGATATCAACCAGTGTCTGTTTCTTCCAAAGTTGATTTGTTTTACACATTTTTACATTAATATTACTTCAATAATGTAGCAACAGAAAATACTTATTTGAATTGGAAATGTTGCTTATTTTGTCAATATACAGTCTTTAAATTGTGGTTAATTAATTAGACCCTGCTATTAACTCAGATTTTTTAATGGAGTTTCTGCACTAATATTAATTTAAAACTAGGTGTGAGAGGGCAGTCCAGGTTAAATGAAACTCTGTTTCCAAATCCATCAACATGCTGTGGTATCAAAAAAAAAAAAATCTATTTAAATATTATGTAAATTTCAAAAGTACAATGTTTTATCTAGAGGGAAACAAAGAGCTACTTTTCTCATCTTTTGGAAATTTATTCCGGTCTTTGTGCCCATCAGGCACTGAAGTGTAGTAAAGTACAGCTCTTTAGTTAATATATGCAGTTAATGCAGGAGTCGGAGTTAAAAAGCAGCTCTTTTCAGCACCGTCAGGGATGTGCTCCGGTGACCTTTGCGATAATGAGGTGAAGGTGTCAGAAACCTAGAAGCAGAGGGAAAGTTTTTCTGGAAAAGAGGGTGGACTTGAGAAAACCTTCTGTGCTGTTTCTATTTATCCCGACAGAAAGAAACAACTCACCAGAAATCAAACTTCAAGCGCCGCCCTCCTCTCCCCATTGTCTTCAGTCTTCCCCAGCGAGGCCTCGGTTAGAATCGCTGATGAGTTTCATCCGTTTCCACACTGGAAGAAGTTTTATTTTTACTAACATCTCTGAGGCCTGCATGTAAATATGCATGTCTAATTTTATCTGCTCCTTATTTCCATAAACTTTTCTTTTTTAAAAAAGAAAAATCTTTTTCAATAGAGTTGAAATTCAACAGTTCAATATATGTAACTCGCAGCGATTCTGTCATCTTGAGGCACTTTTACCACAAAAAGTAATTTGACGAGTCATCATGGATAACTTAATTATGACACTCAAGGCCTTTAAATTCTCAATGGAAAAGAAAGAGTTGATGAGTGAACATTAGTAAATGTCTTTAAAGTGACATTTCTCCTATTTGTTGCATCGCCCGACTGCCTGGTTTCATCCATAACCTCCTCAAGGTCATGGCACTCCTCTTTTAATGCAACAGCTTCTGATCACTGAACTCCGTTTCTTTGGATTCTTCCAGGAAAATCAGCATCAATTCCTGCACCCTGATGGTCTGGGCTGCTCCCGGAGCCACTCTTTTGCTCTTCTTCATTGTTTCTGTGTCTTTTAGTGGAGCAGAGCCTGAAGCTTACAGCCTGCTGATGCTGGTTCTGGTCCACGCTCTGTTCTTCCGTCTGAGTCGGTTTTAAGGAAGTGATGAACCAAAACAGAAATTAACTATTACGATTACTTTGTCCTTAACGAACCCTGTCAGTTGTCTGTGCTACATAACGCTGGAACTAATATATAATATAGCAGTTGAGGAAATGTCTGATTAATTTCTTGATTAAAAAATCAAATAAAAGCAGGTGTTCATAAAGGCATCACTTTTCTGCATTGAGTAATTTGTTTCATCGTGCAATATTTTGAGAGGCGTTCCCCTGAACGCCTCTCAGCCCGAGTCAGATGTTACTGAATATTGCAATATTCAGCAACAAGGTAGTTCAAAAATGCTTTACTCATGAAAACGTCGTACAGCCTTCGGTTATGAAATGAAGCATTATATTTTGTCACATTAGAAGTATTTTTTGGAAATAATCTTTTTCACTAAGCTCACATTTATCATTCCAGTCTCAAATGTCCTTTTTTCATCAACCGTAAGCAGGAAATCATCATAATTAATAGAAATAGACGAGACGTTCATAATGTTGTCAAAATCACTGTGTGCAGGGAGCAGAGTTTAGCTTCATGTATCCAATCATCACCCAAAAACTGGACAACAGTTTGTGTCAACGTACAATAAATTATTGTAGCTGTCAT